CCCTTACTGCCTTCTTTTCCTCTTCTCCTCCCCCTCCTCTCCTACACTCCTCCCCATCCTCCTTTCTCACTTCTCCTTTCCACCTCTGTTTCCTGCTCCTCCCCTCCACTCCTCCCCTTCTCCTCCTGCACTCCTCCCCATCCTCTTCTCTCCTCCATTTCTCTCCCTGTTCCTCTCCACCTCCCCTCCCCTCCTCCCCCTTTGCCTCCTGCTCTTCTCCCCATCCTCCTACACTCTTCTCCCTCCTCCTCCCTCCTCCTCTTCACTTCCCCACCTCCCCTCTCCCTGCATTGCTATTCTCCTCTTCTCTCCTCCTCCGCCTCTTCCCCCTCATCTCTCTTCTCCCCTTTCCCAGCTCCAAGCCCAGCCCAGCTGGGGGGAAGATGGGAGACTTCCAAGGTGACCAGTGTGTCTGACAGAACAGTCCCCAAGTCCCCCCCAAGCTTACCGAGGGGGGACTGCCCCTCAGCTGGACCGCTCTCTCCCAGGGCTGGACTTGCTGCCCCTCTGCCTGACGTTCCTGCTCTGCTTCTGGGAGGTCCAGTACGGCATCCTGGCCGGGACCCTGGTGTCTGTGCTGATTCTCCTGCACTCCGTGGCCAGACCCAAGATGCAGGTACCAGCCTATCCATTCTCCCTGCAAGAGGGATCCGCTGGCCTTGGGGGGCCTGGTGGGGTGAAGGTGCCATACACTTCACGCGCCCGCTTGTCAGCTCTGCGCTCCCCTCACTTCTGTCGGTCTGGGTGGGGGCCTCCTGCCTGGGCAGGCCACCCTAGCCGAGCTGCCAGGTCGGATGTGCCTCCAGGACATACAGGCTTGCCCCTCCTCTGTCCCCGGTCCCCAGGTGTCAGAGGGGCCGGTGCTGGTCCTGCAGCCAGCCAGCGGTCTGCACTTCCCCGCGGTGGAGGCCCTCCGGGAGGCCTTCCTTACCCGGGCCCTGGAAGGTACGTGGGCCAGGATGAGGTGGGCTGCAGTCACCCCCAGCTCCTGCCGCTGACTCCGCACCCCAGTCTGCTGCCTCAGGACCCCAAGGCCCTGTCCTCAGCTCTCGGGAGCTCGCCCACTCCTGGGTCCAGGACGTTGGGTATCTCGGAGTGGTGTCTGTCCACATGTAGCACGGGGGGCTGTTCCCAATCTCCGTTCCTAAATACCATCCCTTTCTCTGGGGAGTTGGTATTTAGGGGAGAAAAGGGGGCCTGTTCGTCTTCTGAAGGAAACTGCTGCTCTCTGCAGCCGTCGGGGGTCCTGCCGCCCCTGCCCGCCCCCTCCCCGCGGGGGGGATGGAGCTCTGATGGCCTCACTGTGCCCCAGGCGTCTAGCCAGGGCTGCATGCCGCTGCCAGGGCCCCGTGTGACTGGCTGGCCCCCGTCTCCGCAGCATCCCCCCCGCGCTGCGCGGTTCTGGAGTGTACGCACATCTGCAGCATCGACTACACCGTGGTGCTGGGGCTCGAGGAGCTCGTGGGGGACTTCCACAGGCATGGCGTCTCCCTCGCCTTCGTCGGCCTGCAGGTGGGTGTCGTCACCTGCCTGTGAGTCGGTGTTGTTATCCTCCCCGGGGCAGGACGCAGGCGCTGAGGCCGGTGCGTGACCTGCCCAAGGTCACATGCGAGGGTGCTGGGCTGTCCCTATTCAGTTCCCTACTTGAGCACTCCCCTTCCTTGTTATTCAGGGCACTGTCAGCCCATCCCCCCCGGCTCCAGAGCTCACTCCTGTTACATCCTTTGTTCTGTTTGCAGAGAGCTTGTTTTTGTGTCTCTCAGAGAGTAATCACTTTAAAAGTCTCCCTTCTCTAGCATAGCTGAGGGGCAGTTTCCTCTCTCCGTTTGCCTGAGCGGAGGTGAAGCTGTCCCTGCCGGGAGACTGGGGGAGGCCGTGACACGCGGTGGCCCTGGGCCGGGGGGCCTGCCCCAGCCCACCCATGCCTGCACGCTGCAGCAGGGCCACTCTGCCTGGGATGAGAGTTTCTCTGCCACGCAGGTTCCTGTCCTCCGTGTCCTGCTGTCCACTGACCTGAAGGGTGTCCAGTACTTCTCCACCCTGGAAGAGGCAGGTGGGTGCAGGCCGAGTCATTAGAGAGACCCACGGCAGCGCAGCGCGCCCACAGCCCGTGGGATGGGGGGCAGGACCGCAGGACCGAAACTCAGCCCCAGGAGGGTCAGGGGGTCGGGCGCCCCAGTGCAAGCGTGGGGAGCATGGGTGCGGCACGGTGGGCGACGCGGAGGGCACGGTCAGGGCTCTCCTGTGCTGGGAGTCGCTTTAGGGGGTGTTTTACTCACGCATGCGGCTCGGGGTCTCCCAGGCGGGGATAGCCAGAGGCGATGTGGAACGTTTCCATCATTCCAGAAAGTGCCGTCAGTCCGTCCTCATGACGCCCACTAGGGGTAGCCGCTGTTCGGGTTCCTTCTCTCGTGGGTCAGCTCTGCCTGTTCTAGAATGTCACATAACTGGGATCTGAAGGACTCTGTGTCTGAGTTCTTGGGCTTAACGGGATGTCGTCGCTGGGAGCAGCTCACATGCCGACCCACAGGAGACGGGGAAGAGACGTGGCCCGGCCATGCTGGGGGACCATGCGGCACTAAGGAAGGGTCATCGGGCGTGGACAGTGATGAGGCGCTGACAGGGACTTAGGCGGAACCTTGCCCGGGCTGGGGGTACCAGCCGGGGGGACCCCAACTCCCTGTGCACCAGGACTCTGAAGCGCCGGCTCTTCACTCCATCCTGGGACATGACCCTTCCTCACTTCGCCTCTTTTGTGCTTGCATGCCTCGTATTTTCTGCAGAGAAATACTTGAGGCAAGAACCAGGGACCCAGCCCTACAACGTCAGCGAAGACTCTGTTCCGGAGCACAAGATCGCCCTGCTGAAGGCCTGATGGGGGCGCTGATGGGCGTCTGATGCCTGGGGAGTCTTGCGGAAGGTTCTGGACGCTGTGATGCCGGATGCTGCCCTATAAACGCCTTGGCCCGAGGGCTCTGAGCCGGTGACCCCCGGGGGAAGGAAGCCATGCATGCATCGAGATCCACAGGTGGGACTCTTTGGCTTTCTTTGGGGTGACTGAAAAATCACCTCCCTTCTGTTCCCTGTGCGGGAATCTTTTTCTGAAGAACAGTTTGGAGAGAGCCTTCTAGAACGACAGACCTGTGAGAAGAAAGGGGCAGGATTTCCAGCTGGTCCAGGGGAAGGGCCCTCACAGCCCAGCACCTTCCTGGCTACAGGGGGCGGTGGGGTTGGGCAGCTCCGAGGCGGGTTCCAGTCTGGGTGGCGGCGTCTGTCCTGCTGTGGGGAAGGAAACCGAGATGTGCGAAATGACTTAACGTGTCTGTGAAAGATAATTTTGTCGTCAGTGTTTTTTAAATTAAAAAAGCAAGAGCTTTGGTGTTTTTGTAAAAACCGTAAATGCTTATTGTAAAACGTAGAGGAAATCCTCTCTTCCATCCACTTGGGTGGCAGTCCAGGCCCCCTCCCCCCCACCCCGTCTGTACGTCAGCATGCGGGGGTGTGTCCCCAGCTGCGTGTGGATGGGGTCATTGCATACATGGTGCTCTGTGACCCACACTTTCATGCAGTCCTTGCTGTGAATGACTCATTGTGATAATAAATAGAGAATACGTGATCTGCAGCATCTGCAACGTGCTTTATTCTGTGTCTGTGTCACAATGGACTCCCCGAGACTCTGCGTGTGGACTTCTCTCGTCCAAGGTGTGTATACCTTTCCACCCCTGCCGTCACAGCCAAGGAAGGTTGGGCTCCCAGGCCTTCTTCGAGAAAGAACTCAGTGTGCGGGTAGGCCCTGTGGAGCTCCCCAGCATTCCCACCAAGACACGTTCTGGCCCCCCGACCAACCCCCACCCCTGAATCTGCATTTCCTTACCTCGAGCAGCTCTCTCTCTGCACAAACGAGCATGTCCTGGAGCCCTGTGCGCTGGGCCACCCCTGCCCAGGGCCCCGTGGAGCATCCGTCCAGTGGTTCCTGGCCCCCAAGCCAAGCATGCCCCTTCTTGAGCCAAGAGACCTCCCATTCGCAGAGCAGGCGGATCCGTTGGCTCTGTCAGGACCTGGGCTCTAGGATCTTCACCCAGAGCCACACCTGTGACTCGGAATCCACTCCAACAAAGCCCGAGTGTGTCTGCCAGGAAGCAGATCCAAGGATGGTTAGCACAACCTCATTAGCAATTTTAGAAAATGAAAGCAAGCTGAATGTCTCCATTTAGGAATGTCTTGGCCACGAAACACACGCGCTGGGATGCTGTGCGGCAATTAAAGGAACAGGGTGGAGCTGTGCATCTCTACACACTGGTGTCTGAAGAAAAAGAGCAAGTCGCAGAGCGATGCTCATCTTAAGAGACATTTGTGTGAACACACCCACGGAACGATGCGGCGATGTCTGTACGAGTTTAAAAAAAGTCCTGGAAAGATACACATCAAACTGATAAAAGGAATTATGTTGACGTTACACTGCTTGGGTTGATTTTAACCATCTATGAGTGGTTTAATTTCTCAACGATACATTAGTATATAGTTAAAAATTAAGTTATGGCTTAAAATTAATTTATATTACTATAATACATAATCAAATTATACACTTGTTAAGTTTAAAATTCATTTATAGTTTATTAAATTATGAACTTACTAAATTTATAATTAAGTTACAATTAAAGCTTCATTTCAGAAAAAGAGAAAAGACTGGAATGGACCACGGTGTGGAAGGACTTTGGAATTCGGTGCCTGAGGATGTGGGGCTGGGTGGTCAGCAGACGTGCCCCTCCGGGCCTCGGCCTGTGCCCCAGGGCCTGCGGGGCAGAGCGGACGGTACCGCTGGCTGGTGTAGTCGCCTACAGCTGGCTGGCGGGGTGACGGTGTCCCCCGCACCAACACAGTCCCAGCCCCTCTGGGGAGCGTGGCCACGTCCCTGAGATGTGCGTTCGCACTGTGTCCCCGAGATTCATACGCTGACTTGAAGTACCTGACTCCCGGTACCTGAGAATATGCCTTTATTTGGAGACAGGGTCATGGCAGGTGTAATTAGTTAAGTGAGTCCATCCTGGAGTAGGATGGCTCATCCGTACGGCTCAGCCCTTAAAAAAAGAGAAGGTTTGGCCCAGACACACACCCAGGGAGAAGGCCACCTGAACAAGAAGGCAGAAGTCAGGGTGATGCTTCTATAACTTGTCAGCAAGCCCCCAGCAGCTGGGAGAGAGGCCTGGAAGAGATTTTGCCTCAGCCTCACAGGGACCCCGCCGTGCTGACCCCAGGATCCTGGCCTTCGGCCCCGCCTGGTCTGTGCTGCTTTGAGGCAGCAGCCTGGGCAGACTAATAAGGCGTTCGGTGCTGGCTCCTGCAAGCTCATTCCCCCTTCCTGGCCGGCTGGCTGGCCCGCGGGACCTCACCGGTGCCCTGGGAAGCCACGTGCCAAGAATGGCCGAGTTCAGGTCAGCGGGCGTGGAGGAGGGCACCTGCTGAGCAGCGGCCCATGGGCACTGCCACCTGTCACAGCTCCCAGAGCCCCGACTATACAGTGAACAGTGACCCAGATCCGCGCCCTCGACGACGTACAACACACTCCGTCACTGAGCCACGCGGGCCAGCTTCCCATTTCCAGTCGCCTTGTGGAATAAGGAGCAGGTGAAATTAATACTACATTGAACCCATTCCACCCATGATACTGCTTTCAGCCCGTGATCTACAGACAGTTCAGCAGTGAGACAGTCGACCTTGTTTTGCTCATACGACATCTCGAAACCCACTGTGGACTGTGCGCCCGCGGTTCGCCGCAGTTCAGACCAGCCACGCTTCGAGGGCTGCGTGCCACGTGTCCCGTGGCTGCCGTGTCGGATACCCCAGGTTTGAGATGTCCGCTCCCAAGGTGGTTCGGAGGCCCCGGCTGCTCCGAGCTCCTGGCTCATGCCTGTGCTTGCCTGTACTCCGTCCCTGGGGGTGGTTGTGAGAATCTCTGACGTGGAGATGGAGGAGGAGGCAGCATGCTGTGGCTGGCTCACAGAGAGCGGTGTTGAGTCCAGGCTGTTCTGGTTTCCCACTGCGTGACGTTGGGTAAACTGTCTAATCTCCCTGACCCTTAATTTCCTCCGAAGAGCCGTTGCAGGGGTGGGGTTGAGGGGCAGGGTGAGGAGGGACTGGCGTGTATCAGGCACCGAGGAACCGCTGCTACTCGGAACCGGACCTCCTGGCATTGTCCTAACTCTGGCAGCTTGATGCAGGACTCTGAGGATGGAGACATCGGGGAGGGTGGAGGTGAGGGTAGGAGGGAAGCTTTAGGCCTCAGGCTGCACGCCGTGCTCCTCCCCTGCCCCAGGGAAATGAACCAGGATAGGGTGAGGGGATTCCCTGTGACTGCTCCATCTTGCCTGCAGTCTGAAGCCACCGTGGAGGGGCCCCCCAGTGTCACCAGCTTTTACGGTGGCAGCTGTAGGCTCGGTGGCCACGTCCCTGCAGGCCCCACACCCAGGGAAGCCTCCTCATGGGTCAGGGTGCTCTGCATGCTAATGTGGGGAGCAGTGGGTGTCCCCGTGAATGCCAGAGTGGGGCGGGGACCTCCATCTTCAATAGAAAGTCGGCCTGGAACCGGGCTACCCTGCCTGGGCTGACTGGGAGCCAACAGCAAACCTTTTTCTGGCTGTAATGTGATTACTTGTAGAAACTCTGTTCTGCGTAGATCTACCTACCCTCTGTAAATTCAGCTACTGATGCTGGCTGAGAACCTACCCCCCCCCCACTTTAGAATAGTTTTAATCCTGTGGAAGGACCCAAGTTTATCCAAACCATAGGAACCCTTTGCAGTGCCAGATGGCTGCATCTTTTAGAGCAGATTTGGCAAAGCCCACGGAGCTGGTGCCTACAGTGGGTTGAATTCTGTCCCCTGAAAAGAGTTGAGTTCTTGACCCTAGAAGCCTGGGACTCTGACCTTATTTGGAAACAGGGTCTTTGAGGATGTCATTAGTTGCATTCAGAGGAGGTCACACTGGATCGGGGTGGCCCTAAATGGGACGGCTGGGGGGACGAAGACACGCAGGTAAGGAGAATGCCATGAAGTCACTTGGTTACTCTTCTCAGTTCTGTGCCCCCCACCCCCGAAACACAAGGAGCCATAGCACCTCCATAAGGCTGCCCTTCTGTCTGTGCGGGCCGGCAGCCCACGTGGGGGCTCGGTCGGTGCCGATGGAGGAGGTGTTTGGACCCCACCGTTTCAGCCTGAGGGACATCTGACTCTGGGACGGTTCTTGCTCCATGGGGTCAAGAGTACGATCCCTGGTCGAGAATATCCAGGCCCAGAACACTGACTCCCACCAGCCAAACTCAGCCCCGACACATCTGCACCCCAAAGCCTATTTCTTGACCGCCAAGCCTCTCTCAAATAGATCTGTGGTCTTCCCGTGGGAAAAACCAGAGCTGAAGAGAAGACCTGAAGGCAGGCTGGTGAGTAGACGCAACCAAAGCCGGGAGCTGCAGGCCCCTCTTGTTTTGCATGGTTTTTATTTATACAGCTCTGGGATAAATGAGAGCTTTTTGTTCAGCCCTGCCTGGTCATACAAGCCCGGCTTTGAGATGGCTGGATGCGCCAGTCCGGACCAGGGCCCCAGGGCTGTGCTGTGGGCAGTGGCAGGACCACATGCCCTCGGGCCTGGATTCTCCTCATAAGGCCCCTTTGTTCTCGGCCTCCCCCGACCCCTTCCCGCACTTACGCTCTCTGCAAAGTGTGCCTCTCTGCTCGCTGCACCCGGGCAGGGGAGCATCCTTCCTGCAGGCGACCCCGGGAGTCTCAAGTATACACAGGCGAGGAGCAAGGCCGGCCAACAAGATAAGTTTTGGGTCCCACTGAATCCATTCTGTAAACACTGGCGGCTGCAAGATCAAGATCAAGGACATTTCAAACGCTCCAACATCTGTGGAAACTGGAAGCTGTTCTATGCCGGGTTTGGCCAGGCAGACCACATGGCTCAGTCAAGGGGCTCCTCCCTGCTGATGTCACGCAGGTGACCCTGGGAAGAATGTGCGGGCAGGCTTTCCGCCAGCAGATCTTCCCCAAGAAGGGGTCGGGTTCTTTGTGAACGCTGGGCCAAGAGGAGAGATTCAAGCCTGCAGGCTCCACGCCACCATATGTGTAGGGTAGGGACAAGGCTGAGGTTGGCACGACCTGCAACCTTTCCTCACCCCCTCCTTCCTTCATCCCATGACCCCATCCTCCTCCTGCACCGACATCAATCTTTAACTTGGAAAGGAAACCACATCTACTGTTGTCCTCATATTTTGTTATTTTTCTCTTATTTCCTAATGGTATTAGATCATATATGTTATTTTTTGTCATACTCTTTATATTATTTTTTCAAATATTGCGTGCCTATTCCAACGTATACGTTTATTGCATGTATCAAGACCAGAGAATGTAAGGGGTCTTCTCTGAGTACTCACAATGGGCTCATAACACCTGGCTTTTCCATCTTTTCTTTGTTTTCTTTATTTGGTGTACTGCGTGAGTTTTGATTTGGTTCTTTGGGTCGCTAACCATCTTTATGGTGCAGGTGTCCTGACGACAGGACCACTTACGCTAGGTTCTCGGCGCCTAGAGAAGGAAGGGTTCGGAACCTCTGCTTTCCTCGGAGCACCTGCTGGCTTGTTTCTGCGCCTGTCAGAACAGGATGTCCATGCCTACCAGGCCACTTACCTAAGACTTCTCAGAAAGTAGGGAGTCGGAGCCTGCCTCTAGGTGGGCTTCCTCTTCTGGAGGTTGGTGTCACTCAAAGTCACCCCTGCAAATGCAGGTGACAACCCAGCTCTGAGGTAGCCTGGCTAGATGGGCTCTTAGCGGCTGAGGGAAGAGGAGGTGACCTGATACTCCTGCTGAAGCCTCATTGATCTTGAGCCACAAGTTAAGTTGGGAGTGCAGAGACAGGTAAGGCAGGACAGCAATCCCCGTCTCTCAAAGGTGAGATTCTAAACATCCTTTTACAGTTTGCTTTCTGCCAGGGAGTGGTCAAGAACATAGAGAAGGGAACAGGAAAGTTTCCCTGGGGACATTAAAATGGCCTTAAAATCCAAAGGGTGTCTCCCTTGGTGGGGTGTCTCTACTGGAAGCATCCTCATTCCTAAGGCTGTGTTGGGTTTTACGACAAACAGGCTGCACCACGCAGGTCAGGGTGTTTTCTCAGCCACCTGACTCGTCCAGGATGTGGCTTCCTGACCCTGCCGGGCTGCAGAGTGCTGACCGCAGTGCCCGCTCTGCCGGTCCTTCAACCACTCCCTGTTACTTGGGGCAGGCTCAGGGTTCTGGAGCCCACGAGCCACGCCTGCCCGTGGGAGCACACGCAGGAGGTGCGGCCTGGCCAGCAGGGCTAGCTCGTCACTGGCCTGGAAGGGCGTCTGGGTTTTGCTCTGCTGGCGTCTCCCCAAATCTAACGGTGGCAAAGGACAGTGTAGGGTACGGCTGGGCTCTCCCTTCACTTGCCATTCCCAGAGGATCCCCAGATTCCCAGAGCCTTCCCTGGATTCTGACTAAGCCCCCTCTCCTGCTAGGACCCAGCAGGGACAGCCCAGTCCAGTCTGCCCAGCCTGGCACGCTGCCTGGAGTCCCCTTCTTTCAGAACAAGCTCTCTTTCCTGGGCCCCACATGAGGTCAGTACAAGGTCAAAGGCCACAGCAGTGGACACGGCTTAGATCCTGCCCAGATCCCGATGAACTAGACAGTGGGGGTGGCTGGTCGTGAGTTGGGGTTTGTGGCTTTGAGTAAATACGAGATCAATCATGGCAACCTGTGCTGAGCACCTGCTAAGCACCGCCCGAACTCTGTGATGCTGGGTTTGAATGAAGAAACCAGACTTGCGAGGGCTGGGCACTGCGGAGGGGCCCAAGAAGAACTGAGCTTGCTGTTCATAGGCCAGAGGAAGGGTAATGTGTCTGGAGCTTGTGGAAAGGAGAGGGTTGGGGACGGGCGGGACAGGAACCCCAGCCTGTTAAATTTGATCATCATCATCCAAGCTGGACTTTGTAGCAGCACAAGGGCCCACAAGTGCTCTCAGGCTGCGCTGGTTCTGGGGGAGAGGGCTGTGCGGAAAGTAGGGAGTAAGTAATACACATCACGTACTTTGCTTGGGTCGTGGAACACCAGCATTGGCTGTATTGTTGTTGTTGTTAATGATAAATTCTCCAGCAGCCCTAGGATGCTGCACTATGAGCTCACAGATGAGGACACTGAGGGATGGAGGGGTAGGGGGTGCAAACGCAGGCTGGGGTGGCCTCTTGGTTATCAGTGACCATCCCAGGGCCGAGCGCGGGCTGGAAACCCTCTACGACTATCGGCCACTGTGGTCACTTCATCTGCACAAGGTCCCGATGCGACGGGGCTGGGGACCCCCTCTTTGCACCGGAGTGACCACCTCGCGTCCTCTGTGCCCCTCCCTGGCCGGCCGCTGGCTCTCCAGGGCGGGGGGCACTGTCCAGGGTGCTGGGCTCCAGGGCTGGGGGCTGCTGGGGGAGACGGGGGTGCAGACCCCTGCTGGGCCGGAATCCGGGCTCCCCTGCGCCCCGCCCCGCGGGAAGCGGCAGGCGGCGCCTCCCCCTTGGCCTGGCGCCGGGGCCACTGGGGGGCGCCATGGGCGGCATTCTGGCCGCACCCGCCCGAACTCCCCCACGCCCGCAGGGGCGGGGCCCGGACCAGAGAAACGAAACCGGGCGGCGGCGGAGGCTTGCGCGCCGGGGCGCCGCAGGTGCGAGCGGGAGCGGGGACGCGCCGCGCAG